GATTTCGCTCAAACAGACCCGCGTACCATAGAGACATACAAACGCATCGCACAATAACACGAGTGCAACGGCGGTGGGGTAAGAAAGAAATAAATTTTAGCTTTTTTTAAATTGGCATTGAAATTAAGCTAGTTTCCAATATACAATGACCTTGCAGATTGTATTTGTAAGAATCAGACAAGGAAGAAATAGAACCGTTTCCTGTAAGCCTCCTAGAAAAGTCGTCAGCGGAAAAGATTTTTGTAGTTAATGTTCAAAATTCTTATAAACCAGTTTTTAAATAATCTTTAATGCTTTTGACTGTGATTTAAGTGCTTAAATTATTATGTTTTTTTTTTGTCTTGTAGCATGCTTTTGTCTTTACTGGTAGTAATCTTATAAAAGACGGATTTTTTTCTGGTTTTTTTTTTCAGTTTCAAAACATGTATAATATTAAGTGGCTTTAATTACTTTTCATAGAAGTTATGAATAGTGTCCATATATCTCGATATTTTATCTTAAGTAAATAATTTTTCATTCTTCCAGTTTGTTTCGGATTACGGCTTCCTCAGGAGTTTTGAAAATGGTTTAAAAGTGAATGTATATTTTCAAAACAATGCAGTGCACAATAAACTAAACGAAACATGAGCGAACTCTGCTCCTTTCTGTGAATTACGGGTGAGAATGGTCAATGTAATTCTGGCATTCAGTTGCATATTATAAACTAGATATAAAAAGACCCTTAGTTCGTCCTTAATGTAACTCTACTGGATAAAGGGAACCAAATGATCGAATCACAAAATATACCTCTTATCTGATTTTGTCCTAAACAGTTTATAAATTGTTTTACAAAATGTAAATTTGAAAATCGTTTTAAAACGGATTTTGTTTAGAACTTGTGCAACTGTTGTTAACACGCATCAGTTTCGAAAACATAAGGATATTCATATTTTAGAAAGATTACCACAAATTATCTGTAGTAAACCACTGGCACAAACAATAATAATTTTTTTTTTACCAGAAAATTGAAAAGAGATATATCCATCCATTATACCTAGGAGCTTCACTTTATTTATTCTTAGCCATTAGTTTATTAATTCTAAGCCATAACTGCCACGATAAATCAATAAATGCATAAAAAAATTAATAACTATTTATTTATTTATTTTATTTTATAGCAAACGTATATATCAGAAATTTGTACTACCGAATAACTTACATCGATTTTCAATCCACACTGCCTTTAGATGATTGAAAGAAGAAAAGAAAGAAATCAAAGAACTAAACTTGTTTGGATGCATTTATTATCCCCGTCATGGGCTGGTCATTAGTCAGATTGCCATCCAATGTTCGTCACATAAAAAATAAGAAGATATTTGTCACAAATATTGTATATGGACTCAAAATATAAAACATATAGATACAAGTTTTGTAGTGTTGAGAGAGAGAGAGAGAGAGAGAGAGAGAGAGAGAGAGAGAGAGAGAGAGAGAGAGAGAGAGAGAGAGAGAGAGAGAGAGAGATTCGTTATAACTAATTGTATTCATAGTATATTTCAAAGAAATACCATTGCAAGTTGCTATCACGTTGGAAACGAACATCAAATTATTGACAAGACAAGCCATAACATACTGAAAACGTAGTCTGACTAAAAAAAAATGGAATCTAGACTAAGTTGAAACACAAACTCTGTTTCATTGAATTTATCCCATTTACAATTTTTATCGTGGCAGTCATGGCTTAGAACTTATAAACTAATGGCTAAGAATAAATAAAGTGAAGCTCCTAGGCATAATGGATGGCTATATCTCTTTATAAATCTGCTTTATAAGTCGAACATATGCAAGGTATAATATGATTTATATATAAATGTTATTTTACTCATAAATATGTCTTAATTTGTACACAGTAAAAATAAAATTAAGTGCCATGATTGCTTTTATCGAATACAATATTCCAAATATTATACTTCACAGGTCAGATTTTTTGCTATGTATTTGTGAGCGTAATATATACTAGTATTCACACTTGGTCTCTAATGCACAAAAAATATATTTCCAAAAGGCAGTAACAAGTGGGCAAACCCAAGGGATATGCAAGATTTTCAGATTCTGTATTTCAATAAGATTTATTATTATCATCAGATATTACAATTGTTTCATAAATGTATTTGTAGACAAAATTATATATAAAACTCTAATTTAAAACCATAGAGAATTTTTAAACATAGCAAACATAAATGATAAGAAAGTTGCCAATTTTTGTTTACTGTATTTTAATCCAAACTCAGTTTCCTCTTTATTTTTTGAAGAAGAATGATTCTTTAACCCATCATGAATAAACAAATATGTCTACATCATTTATTTTCCTTTATCAGATACGTATGGTTTGAATGTATGGAATATAATACAATTAATAATAATATAATTGACGTGTTCAAAAATATTTTGACGGCCAAAATTAATCCAATGTAGGCTAATGAAAATAAACATTTATAGTAAGACATCTCCTGCGATGCCCAGAATGGACAAATATTAACCTTTCACATTAATTAAGTCAGTTATAATTAATATGTTATAATTAATATACTTGCATGAATAAATGTTTGTCGCATGTATACTTTCTTCCACCAAGTTTAATCTTTTTTTTGTTGAACCAGAAAGATACTTCGCTAATAAAAGCCGCATTTAATAATGCGCTGAACATTTCTTTTACATTAAAACGAATATAAGCCTTAAATACATCACACAACATGAATTCAGTCTATGTAAATTTGTCATTACAAAATACACACCAAACTTTGTAAAATCAAAGCATTCTTTTAATTAAACACTTAGCAAGTTCACATATCTTCGGTTTCCATAGTTTAAAAAGTTTCTCATCTCTGAAATTTTAAAATATTTACTAAAGAGGATATATCCATAATGTATAATTCAACTTCGGAATAATCTTCTACAAAAATTGTTAATTTAATCGTTTGAATCATTCATTACAATCTTAATAAAGAGGGAATTACGCTTTGTTAATATTTGTTGTAAACAATTTGCTAGAGATAATACAATATAATTAATTTTTTTACATCGCTATGTTTCAAAAACAGTAACTTTTCCAGAAAATAATGGATTTCGTTTATGCCATTGACTATGCGAATTTGTAAAATTTCATTATTTATTGATAAAATTAATTTTAATAATTTTTGAAGGTGGATGATAGAAGTTTACTCGTATACTATGAGTTGACCTTAACCCAAGTTAAGAATTTTTCACGGCAAATTTGTGCTTTATATGCATTCCAGTATTCATATGCATTCTTATATTCATATTCCAGTATTCATATGCATTCCGGTATTCATCTACATTATGAGTTCTAGGTTTTCAGTATTCATATGCATTCCGGTATTCATCTACATTATGAGTTCTAGGTTTTCAGTATTCATATGCATTCCGGTATTCATCTACATTATGAGTTCTAGGTTTTCAGTATTCATATGCATTCCGGTATTCATCTACATTATGAGTTTTTGGTTCTCAGGATTCATATGCATTCCTATTCTCACATTCCGGTATTCATATGCATTCCAGTACTTCTATTCCAGCATTCAAATGCATTCCAGGACTCGTATTCAATTATTCATATACGAGTTCTGGGTTCTCAGTATTCATATGCACGATGTATTCTGGGTTCTCAGTATCAATATGCACGATGTATTCTGGGTTCTCAGGACTCGTATGCATTATGTATTCTGGGTTCTCAGTATCAATATGCACGATGTATTCTGGGTTCTCAGGACTCGTATGCATTATGTATTCTGGGTTCTCAGTATCAATATGCACGATGTATTCTGGGTTCTCAGGACTCGTATGCATTATGTATTCTGGGTTCTCAGTATCAATATGCACGATGTATTCTGGGTTCTCAGGACTCGTATGCATTATGTATTCTGGGTTCTCAGTATCAATATGCACGATGTATTCTGGGTTTAGTATTCATATGCATTATGTGTTATGGTTTTCGGTATTCGGAAACATTAGGTGTCCTGGGTTTTCATTATTCATATGCATCACGAGTTCTGGATTTTCTATATTAATATATATTCCATACAAGAACGCTACAACATCAGTGTAGCACAAATGAAACATTATATTCTTATCTTTGCTAATGGAAATAACATGTAAAACTATTTCCTGATCTCGATATAGGAAACTATTATAGAATGGAAGAGAATAATTAATTAGATTACAAATAAGTAAACTCTACAATATTTTTTATGTAATGAATAATCGAATTGAGTTGTTGGAAATGAGACAGAAGAAACAGAAGGTATTCAAATAATTCTTGACAATGCAAAGTAATATTAACGTGGAGTGAAAAAAACCCAAGGGTTTTATGAATAATTGTTAAAAGAATAAAAAGGGAGATATTGTGTTAAATGAAATTATTCCATACAGTGAAGTTAAAATACTACAGGATAGTAAACGTCTACCTGTACTTCATATAGTAAAACATTATTTCAAATTGTGTACTATACATGATCCAAAAATTAAACTTCAACAATAATTAAGCGTATATATTTTTCGTTATAATATTTTATACAGACAAAATACTGATAACTTATGTAATGTATTTACCTCATGTGAAGGTCATGTAAATAATTTGCAATATGTTCCCGTGAGTCTTTTAAAGGGACTGGTTTCTTATGTATTCAATAATTGTGACCTAGCACTTTCTATACAAAAATATGTTAGCCTTACATGTTGTCTAGACTTGCGAATAAGTGTGTGTGAGTGTATGTGATTTTGACTTTTACCGTAACTTTAACAATTTTTCAGACATATCGCTACGATATTCTATAATTTGGCGGTTTATAGTGATGTCTAGCACTCGGGTTTCATGCCACACACATGTGGCATGAGGTCCCACCCAGTCACATTATCCTCACAACAGGTCGACCAGTCCCAACACTTACCTATCAATGCTGAGCACCAAACGAGGCAGCTGTTATGCCATTTTATAAGTCTGTGTTATGACCCGGCTGAAGATCGAACCCACGACCTCCCGCATCCGAGACGGACGCTCTACCCACTATGTCACTGGCCAAATGCAAGCAGCATAGATCCAGATTTGCTGTCGATTGGTGAGTCGGCAGATCATGGCGAAGTTGCTTCTTCTACTCATTACTAATGATAGATTGCATTGAACCTCATCTACCGTCGTTTAATGCAAAGGCAGATGAGGGTCTGTGCAATTTACAAGTGAGCTTGACTTCCAAACGAGCATAGACGATAAAACTATGAAATTATTTTGTCACCGGATGCGGGGGTTCGCGAATTCGAACTCCGGCAGAGACATACCAAAGATTTATTGATTGATTGATTGATTGATTTATATTTTTACGGCGCACCAGCACTATGTGGCTATTTAGCGCCAAACATTAGGTTATATCCTTTTTCATTTATAACTGGTAAAATAATTTTATCGACCAGCGATTGGAGTCCAAACAGTTAAAGGTAAAGCGATAAAAATGTGAACGACGGTAAATAATTAAAAGTTTCCCGATCAACGGGGTGTGCAAATATGTGATAACGAAAACATATGATTGGCAATTAAAATCTATCGACTGCATAAATATAACACAAAACTGAACAATGTGATAAAATAAAAGCTATAACTTATGATAAATGTTTGCTTCCTTAAGGAAGTCTATAATGTTGGTAATGTTAACTGTATCAAAGAGCTCCCTCATGTCTTGCACAACGTAGTAATGAGTACGCGTAGGTTGAAGATCGAAGCATTCCAGCATAAAGTGCTTAACGGTGAATGGTTCATTACAAGCTATGCACTCCGGTGGGTCTTCTCCTTTTAATATGTAGGAGTGTGTTAAATAAGTATGACCGAGTCGAATTCTTGCAATGACTACCTCCTCTCTACGGACGGATCTGTAGGAAGGGGTCCATTCTCCTAAGGTTGGCTTGATGGCATGAAGTTTGTCCATTCTCCTAAGGTTGGCTTGATGGCATGAAGTTTGTTATTCACGGCATCATTCCATGATGCCTGCCATTTCTGACGTAAACAGTCTTTGATACAACGTTTAAAATCAGTATATGGTGCTTTAAAATCAGTTGGTTCTAGTAATAGGGCCATTTTAGCAGCACGGTCTGCTTTATCATTACCTTTAATTCCTAAGATTTATAAAAATGGTATTTACTACTGCCTTTCTTAGCGCTCAGCATTAAGAGGTTCGTGTTAGGACTGGTCGGCCTAAGGTCAAGATAATGTGACTTGGTAGGGACATGATGCTATATGTTTGTGGCATTCAGTGCTCGACATCACTATAAACTGCAGATATCGTGGCAAAAGTTGTTAAAGCTACGTTAAAAATCCCAGTTACACACACACACACACACACACACACACACACACACACACACACACACCGAGTTAGTCACACCTTTGTATAGTGCATGAGAGCCAGATTTGAAATTGAGAAGACTGTACAAATCGTTCTCTGTCGCTATTTGTATGACTTCAGACAATGTCAGTGTTGATACATTTGAATTAACAGTGCAGTGATACTCTAAAACAACAGGACAAATATGCAGCACGCGCAACTTGAGAACGATTAGCTTTAGGATTTATACGATCTGTGTATATTAACATCAATAACATGCATGGAGGTGTACACGATAACTGTGTTTTGTACATCAGCTATTCAATACATTTTTGAAATTGAATCTCTTTCAAATAATGAAATATATTCATATAGTTCTGATTAACGCTTATATGGTCTTTTTTGCTTCTTATTTCTATCCTATTGAACAACACACGCACAATCATTTACATTCAAACTTGTTTCTGATAAAAGATGACTATATTTTCATAACCTCTTAAGAAAATAACTTTGCTACGATTCTCTTTATAATTATTTTTTAATACACAGATAATAATTTCCTTGATGTATTTAAAATTAGGTAATTTTCTATTGATATTGTTTTTTTTTATAATTTCATACAAATACGCAAACAGTTCCTTTTTTACTTTGTTTTCCAAGAATGCTGGAGGAATAAATTAGCTGTCTAGGAAATTATAACATCGAACATTGAAGAGTTAGAGCCATGTTATCTGAAAAACCAGTACAGTCGGGTAGACGCATAAAAAATATACATATAAAAATAAACCAACAGCTATTATATCTTGTTAGATTTTGGTACTGTTGCTTTTTATGAAAATGAGATTATTTTACTTTGTACTTTGATCTGACGTCTGCTATTTATTTTCATAGTTATCATCCATTTAAGAGCGCACAAAAAAGAAATCTGACATTTTCCAGCTTTATTTTAACAAAAGTTGCTGAATATTGACAAAAAAAAATTCTGAGTGCAAGACACTATAAAAGCAATAATACGTACATAAGTTTCTAGCTTACAACATAAGCAATAATACGTACATAAGCTTCTAGCTTACAACATTCATTTCAAAGACTATCTGAAAATTTTGCAACTTCCATTAGTTTTTAGATTTTAGTTTATTTACGTCAATCAAAATAAAATGAAACATGTTTTCATTCCTTAAAATATTACGTTATTTTATTATTTATACTTCATTTAGATTTTCCATAATTTTTTTATTCATTTAATGTTAGTTTATTTTACCATTGTAAATAAAATAAAAACCTTTTCACATTTAGAGAATCTTCATGTCGTGGTCCGATTCGTCTTTTGGATTCATTTTATAATCGTTTTCTTTTAACTTTTGCTCAAAATCAACTAACTTGAGCGGAGTTTTTATACGAGAAAACTTTGTCTTTCTGTGTTTATAAATTAAATAAAGTATTTAGAAGTTTGTGTGTATTAAACTATTGGGGGGGGGCAGGTATTATTCCTGTAATATTTTGACCATTTGGTCAGAGAACCATCCCAGGATCACCTTACAAGTGATAAGGACATAAATATAGTGTTGGAGAGAAAGAAAAAAAAAACACATACAAGCACACGAGCACACATTTATGTATTACACAGTCTTATTTGACAATTATAAATATACAGAATTTAGGTGACACACATGACGCTATTAAACACATAATTATAATTATTGTGGAATGGTTCCCAAACCAACATAAATGCTTCCTTCCTCTCAGAATTTATTGCAATATATTTTTCCAGACTATAGTGATCTTTAATATTATAAACAAACGTTCAAACCACCCAATGTAGGTATATCCCCGTCATTTTACATATAAAGATGTAGTATTTGGCTAACAAAGAAAAAAACAAAAAGTTTTTCCAATATTCCATCTCTATTTGTATACTTTAATATAACATTTTTTCCCCTTGGCGCAGTATCTTTATTCACTTTATTCTGAATCCAAATAATCACTTCATTCCACAACTTAATTATCACATTACGTTACCAAAACAAATGCAGTATTGTTTCCGGAACATTTTTAGAAAAAGTACATTTATCAGTGCTGGATAATTTTATTTGATAGAGAAAATAACTCATAAAATTAAATTCTATGAGTAATATGAAATTGAAACAATTGCAATTTTGAGTTTCGTGTTATTTTCAAAACTTTAGTAAATATGTCATGCCATATATCCATACTCAGATTAAAAATGTCATTCCATTTTTTCACTAGCTGGTTTTCTATAAAATATATTAAAATATTCTTTACATCCTTTATTGTTACGAAATACAACTTATTATTAGAAAGGCATAAATGGTCTGATCAGAGTTGATTTACCTAATTGTACCTTTTTTCACAAGGACTTTACACACTGAATTATCCCTTGAAAAGCAAGGAAATTAGTACTGAGACCATATCTAGCTTAAAAGCTTTCAAAGTCGATCAAGGTCGTAGAGAGCGATTATGGGCACTAGGATAAGAAACATCCGGGCCTCTCTTAGTTATTGTTCAAACAAAATTTTTCTTTCATAAAATTAGAAAGTGTTGTTCGTTCCGTGCACCCGTATGGGTCTGAGCCCAGGGGATATATCCCCGGTTGATTCCTCCCTTCCCCCGACCTTGTCGACCCTGTCAATCATTTTTCTCTGATCTGTAAGCATATTTCCAGTATAGATAACATTATGTTCAAACCATTTCCTACAGAAAATGGATACCATATTCACCCGTATAAGGGAGTTAATCAATAAACTTGTGTTCATGGCATCTTCTCCTGTCCGTAGAATATTTTTCTCTAGTAACAGCTTCCATGCCATTAAAACATCACGCCATAAAGCATTTGTTGTCTTTTTGGTTGAAGGCATCCCATTTTCATCTGCAAGTAGAACAGGCTTCTAATCTCGCGTATTTCATATTAAAAAAAATTGATCAATTTTCTGTGAGGTAGAAGAATTCTACGAATCCATTATGATTTCAAAGTTAATATAAATTTATCAATATCTGTCATCGCCAAGCCAACTTTAGAAAAAGTTTGAGCATAACCTCTCTTAATATTGTTCATTCTGATAACAATTTTGTGGAGATGAACAAATGAGTAAGCTTTGGAATAATTAAGGTTTTCATAACTGTTATTACTGTAAATAAAAGACAGAATATACAATAATATTGTTGCATATGGAAAACATAATTTATATAATTGTAGCGAGATATTTTGTTTTTCTAAATGTTATGCATGTATATATGAATATATGTAATATAAGAAATAATCGTGATAATAAAATTTTATGAGATAAAAGTTAACGGACAATAATTTAGTAAATAATTTTGGGGGATTACAATTATGACCTGCCTGAACAATATTTAGGACTTTTTTTTCAAAGTAGACTAAATTTCCTGGGTATTAGTTATTCATGAGAAAAACGAATTAAAATCCTAAAGAAGTATTTACGTTTTTGCAGTATATATTGACACAAAACTTGGTAATTCGCCGCCATTGTGAACCAGGTCACAATTTTCCAATGTTAGGAGCTAATCAAACACTTTGTCAAGGGGAGTAGTCCAGCTGTCAGGAATTGATACCAGAGCAGTTTTAAAACAGTTTTCCAAAGTTTCCTGATAATAAGATATTTATGTACGTACGTTTTAAGCCAGTCATCGTAACTGAAATATTTGAACAAAACTGTTCGATATAAATGTT